GTAGAATTATGGTTGAAAATCACCTCCGTGCACAAGCCGGTGAGGAAAGGCACACAGCTCTTTATTCCATTGTTGGTAATGTTATTTTTTGATTGATGTAATATTACAATTCGAATTCACATTCCAGAAATAGTCTCATCACTGGAACAGAACGAGGCTAAACAAGGTTATCAGAGGATTTGGAAATGTAGTGCATAGGAGTAGGAACGATAACACTGTTACTCCACATATGATAATGATTTGATACTGGACTGAGTCTAGGCCAGTTCCAATGTAGATAATAAATCCAAAGTAAAAAAAAATGTAATCAAAGATGATGGTGCTTATGTGTGTCCAAAAAAAATTATTTGCAGATAGATGTTCACAACTCTGGCATTGTGCCTCTCCCCAGAATATTTGCCCAAATATTAAAAAATAGTAAATTTTAAAAATGGACTTTTAATGTAGTCCCGTGTCCATGAATTTTCAGCTGAACTTTGGCAGTAAGCCCTAAATGCGATAAAAGACTCTGCACCAATATATTTTGCTTTTCTCTTTTTTTTTTTTTTTTTTTTTTTTTTTTTCTCTCTGTCTCTACAGACAAAGCTGAAAGCATAGCATAGGTCTTGAGTTATGGCTGGTGCATTTTTCTAAGCTAAAGTGTCTTGTTAGCTCTTATGCTAATGACTGCAGCAGAATCCAAGCCTCTGTGGAAATTTATGGGAAGGGAGGTTACTGCTGAGCATTGTGTTGGACTTTGGGTCTTCCTTTGGGTCCCTCCAGAGCTAGACTGAGCCAGTGCCTTGTATGTAACATCAAGGTAGAAAGTCTTTTTAGAAAAGTCTCTGTCCCCATTTTACAGATGGACTTTTGAGACACAGGAGGAATAAAGCCAAATGCTTCAAAGACACTTAGTGGAGGTTAAGTGCTGAGTTTCCTTTGAAGGTTTAAACCCAAATGACATGCTTGTGATCATGTAAGAGATTTGTATCACCCATGGGAGCAGAACCATTTTTTCAGGGTAGTGTCATAACCACTCCACAATCCTTCCTCTTTCTTCTCCATAAAGCTCCCACTGACTTCAAAGGTGAAGAATTATGGCCCACATCCCACAGCACTGTGAGCTCAGACGTGTGTACAGAGCTTTATCCACACATATATTCCATCAGGGACACTGACTAAAGTAAAACTACACAGACAGTGGGGAGGGGAAGAAATTTTTGTAAGGCTGGGATTTCTTTTTTATTCTCAGAGTCCCTCTCTTTAACCTTAAAAGTTTAACTTATCAGTGCAGAGTGTACCTAATGACTTGAGTTTGTGGTCTGTCTGTACTGTCCATAGGAAAGCTGTAACCTAAAGGAAATGGGAACAGAAAAAAGGAGTGCTACCTTATTAAGTAAAACAAAATATTCTTTATTCTGAATGCCTCAGTGAGATACATTATTGAGTTTCCACTAGAATTATATATAAATATGAGTTGGTTGGGTTCTCAGAAAACTGCACAGCTTGCAGAGACTGGATGTAAAGAATCTATTTATCTCTTGTCATGTGTATCCACTAGAAGTGAGCACATCCCAGGTGATGCATTTTTCTCCTGATCCAGCTGTTACACTCCTAGGTGAACAGCAAAATTAGAAGTTTGGATTTTTCAACAGACACATAATCCACTCCATTTAAACACTGGTAGCAATATTCAGGTATTATTAGATCAGTCCCTCAACCAGGGGCACAGCAAATGTCTCAATCATTCACTCTCAGCTCAAAACCAATAGATTCATATTATTAAAATGTTAAAATTAATTTTTTCAGAGAATGAAAACAAAATAAAAGTAGAAGGGGGAAGGTACATCCTTTTTGGTCCATATTTAGCCCATCTTTTGAAAATAACAGATCTTCTCTTTTCCAAAAAACCCCCCAAACTTAAATTCTGGCTCCAGTTAAGAGTTTCCTAATTGCGTGTGACTGTTTCTTGACTTCCTGATCCCTGTCTGGTTTAAGGGTTTCTTAAATCAACAGGGCCAGCTGTCTCCCTGAAGCCAGGCATGGTGTGTGTCACTGTGGAAAGGACCTGGATACAGGGAGGAGCAGAGGTGATTAATGGGGCAAGTGTCACAGCTCAGAGTGTGGTTGCACTACTGTGTAGGGGCATACTTACTGCAGTCATTTATCTTCTGTCCTCTGCCACACACACACTGAAACACACGTGCAGATTTTATTTTTGCTAGGCATCAGAAATGCAGGAGTGTACGCAGTGCAGCAGGACCTGCAGATGATGCTGTGCCTCTCTAGATCATGCCTTCCTTTGTCTTGTTCCATGGGTGAGCAAAAGAAAGATTGACAAAACCCAGTCCTTGGTTTCAAGTTTATCTCTCTGCCATTGGCAAACTTTCCCCACAGAAGAGAGGGAAAAAAGGGAAGGGGGGGGGGGGGAGGCAAGTAAATGTCTCTGTTTTGTGTACTGTATTTTAGGTTAGATAAAGAAAAGGAACTACAGGTTAAATGTGGATATAGGATTGCAAGTGATGGAGTTGCACAAGGAGGTGAAAGGTGCTTCCCTTCTTGGCAAAGACCTCATACAACATCTGTTTTTTGGGTATCTGGACCTCCATCACCAGTGGGATGCACAAAGCTGGGGGACTGCTTGGTCCCCCAGCACTGCTGTTCCTGCTTTGTGTAGGAGCAGGTTGTGCTCACAGGTAAGGCTGTACCTTGCTTTCCCCAAAGCATCTCAAGTGATTCAAAACCAGGTCCCAGCCTTCAGCCAGAAGCAGGGAAGAGGAGACTTCTGTTATGTGGGTGTTGAGCCTTCAGATGCTTCCACAAAATGTCACCTTCCATGTCAGTGCGTAAAAAAGGCTTCCCTGACCTCCTGCCTGAGAGCTCCAGTATAGAGGAGATGGAAAGGTTTGTGGTATCTCCATGGACCAATGGACTTGCAGCTTTGCATTACAGAAGTTACTGCAAGTGTAAAATGGCTAGTCATTCCTAAGACTTGATTCCTACAATGTAAATCTATCCCCGTTTTTCACCAGGAATGGAAGCCACTATGTTCTTTGCTGCTGTAGCCAGCAGCATTTTATCTCTTTGACACGTCAGTTTGCTCCTCCATCCCTTTGAGACAAACAGATATTCTTGCCAGACACAGAGGTAACTTCTTGGGCTTTCACAGGAAACTGCTATCTCCAAGAGGTCTGACTTAATGGGACTTATGACTTGTTGAGTGCTGGCTCAGGGCTAAACTGAGAACAAGGTGCAAAATACTTGCATGCTCTGAGGAGTTCACAGGTTACACTGGTGATGCTGGAAAGCCTGGAGGAAAGAATGACTCAGGATAATGTGACTGAACCCTTAAAGAAGAACATGCTGTGAGAAGCATGGTGATTTGGCAAAGCAGGTTGAGAAGCAGTTTGGAAAAACAAAGGTCCAGCTGGTCTGTGAGATCCAATAGGCTGGGGCAGGATCTCTTACATGGAGTGTTATCTCCATCCCCTTAGGATTCGTTGGTTCAGGAGATGTGGTCCCTTTTTCTGTCTCACTCAACTGAGAAGAGCCTTTAGTGTGAATCCAGAGTAAGGTGTAGACTCATCCTGCATAATGCATGGTGAGAAATCTCTACTGCTTGATCCCTCACATATTTTAGGAGTGATGCAGATGAGGCTGCCATGAAAAATTTTTAAGGAGAGTCACTGGAAGATGGAAATCAGTTTTTCTCCCTAAAACTTGCTGAGAACTTTTGGAGAAGCAGTATAAGCCAAGAGGGTGGGAAGAGACAGAAATTATTGTGATAAAGCCATGCGAGCAAGTGGAACGGGAAGAGGTGGGCTGAAAAACAAAAATCAAAGACAGGTTTTAGAAAATTAGTACAGGAATTTTGTATAGTAGAAAACCAGAGATGGAATTAACACAAGTAACAGAGTCACTGTACCAAGAGTTTCAGCGCAGTGAGTGAGAGATGTTCCCCTTATGCGCTGTGCATGCAATGTCATTACCACTGACTCAGATTAACACTGGAAATCCTGGCAGCTTTACATTTACCTAGGGACTCAGAAATCTGAACCTAAGGTTTGCAGCTTAAGCTGCTTTCCAGTGGTGAGGCACAGAAAATCACCAGAAAGTGCTTGGGTCCTGTTAGCAGTCATCAAACACTCCCCCCTTACAGCTTTTCTGCCTGCAGGGCCCATGGGCTCCCAAACCCTTGTGGTAGACCTGGGACTTTCACTGTTTCAAAACAAGTTGTTGTCCTAATAACCAGAGATTTTGGCTTATCTGTCCCTTACAGCTTGGATGTTGGCTCATTCCTGAGTCTGCTGCCCTGGCCCAAGTCCTTGAGCTTTCAGCCTTTCTGCTGGGTCTGTGAGCATCTCTCTTCACAAAAGCAGAGACTGAAGGAGCAGTTCTTGTGGAAGTCACTTCCTCAGATATATCAGGAATGTTCCAGGGATTTATGTGTTGTAATGCATGGTCTTCTCTGGTGAAAACTAATAGCATGTAAAGATAAGGGGGTTTACCCTGTGTGCATCTTCCTTTGTCTGTATTTGATAAACTTTCCTCTCTTTAAACTGTAAGGTTCTTAAAAAGCCACATATACAAGCCAAATCTTACCGTCCTTGCTTAGTTCATGGTGACCTCAGCTGAGAACAGATCACAGGAATTTGGTGTTAAACAGCCAATGATTTTTTTTTTTTAACAAGCAGAGAATAAAGGTCCAAGTAACTCACCCAAATGTAACACCTAAAACTACATTTTCACAAAGGGACAGAGAAAAATCAAAATTAACTGAAGTTTCCTGTAGTAAAGTACTAGTTTCATGTTTTTTAAAGAGAGTATATTCATTGGGAATTTATTTTCTTTTTATTTGTTTTTAGAGTCCCTAACAACCTCCCATGCTCTGATCCCCTAGTGGTTTTTCTTTGTGTGGTAGTGGTGCTAAGGTGGCTTAAAGAAAGCTGGATTAAAACATGCAGTGTTTTGTGGGTTCCTTAACCATGCCACCTGAGTTGTGGCCTCTCTCTCTGTTTCAGGTGCCAAACTTCATCAACACAACACTCCCACCCCACGAGCAGGTGACAGCTCAGGAAATAGACAGCTACTTCAGACAGGAGCTCATCTACAAAAGGAATGAGAGGATGGGGAGAAGAGTGATGTCACTTCTAAGGGAGAACAGAGACAAGAGCTTCTTCTTTGCCTTTGGAGCAGGTATGGCATGATTTTTTTTCTGTTTTACTCTGTTACTATGATTGGAAGTAAAGTGTTTGGAATGATTCAGGTCTCAGCCTGTGGGAAAATTTCTTATGAGGCTTCCCTTTGAAGCAGAAAGACTTTTGTTTGTCCAGACCCACTTCTAAAATGGAGTGAGTTGTTGTAGGAGGTGGGTCTAGGTCCAGGCAGGCTGCACACTGGCTGCACTTACTTTGTTTTCCATCTGGCTGTGGAAATGTGAAGCTGTAAGCACTTTTCATGCTGTTGTGTTTGTTCCCTTCCCAGACCTGTGGGCTACTTGGCCACAGGTGTAGAAGATGGTTCAGTTGCCTTTGAATTTGTAAGCCCAGGTGGTGGGGGCAGTGAGTGGCAGAACACAAACCCTTTGGTGGCACAGCCACATGTGTGTGGCTCCAGCACTGTCCCAGGATTTCAAACATTCTGGGTTGCTGCAGTTAAACCTTCTTGATGGGTGACTGAGCTGCTTTGGTGCTGTGTCTGTACAGACTGGCTGGTTTGGGGCTTTGCACAAGTGCATGAGTTGTGTGTGTAGTAAATACCAGCAGTTTAAACCATGAAGTAAAAATCCAGTGTCCCTCTTCCTGTTTAATGCTCTCCCTGAAGTCTGCAGAACAAAGATGTCTGCAGTACTTCTGTGAGCCTACGACAGTACATGCTACTGTCCTCTCTCTCCCTTTTTAAATTTCTTTTCCCTTGACCAATGGAATTCATATTTCTGTGTGATAAGAGTATAAATAATAATTATTCAGGCCCCAGCTCAGCACAATCCTGAGCACCAGCTTAAGTGTCTTTTTGAGCTCCCTCAAAAGGCAGGCTGAGATTGCTGTGTCGAGAACCAATCTGCTCCTCCTGCTCCTCTCCTTAGCAATTTCTCATTTTTGACAGAACTTTGCTTCTCATCCCATGGCTCTCACTATGAACTTTGGCAACAACTCACCTTTCGCTACTCACTTCAGTGGGAATTTTGATTAAAGACTGTGGGTTTTAGCAGAGACACGTGCATTTTGATGTATTTATTTTTTGAGTGTATCCGGACTGAATTTTCCCAAGCTTATTTAATCTCAGGCTTGGCTGATATTTCTGGCCAAGAAGTTTTGCTTAACTGTTTTTACAGTAGGAAAATATATCATGATGGCTCATAATTGGACAGGCATTCATAAAAACCAGCCTGTCTAACCCAAGGAGTGAGGTTTATTGGAGATTATCGAACATGATGGCTTAAATAACAGTTTCCAGTTTTGTAAATCCGTTAACCAGTACATAAATGGAGCTGAGGGGATAAACTGGGCATCACTGCCCACTTGTAGAGCTCTACAGCGAGTCCACAGACCAAAGATTAGATGGGTCATGGATCCAACCCACTGCAGCTGTTTGCTTGTGCTAATGACAGAGCTGAAATTAAGCCAATGGATGCTAATTCCACGTTACATTCGTTAGAAAGACACTTATAACTTACAGGAGGATTGAGCTTTCTTCCCCTATCCCCATCAGAGGGCACCTACCTGAAACTCCCAGGGAAAGCTGGCTCATAAAGAGCAATCTCACTTTGTCTTTTAGGCCATTTCTGGTGATGTTGAAAACTGCCTTTGTTGCTGGGTTGTTTTGTTTCCCCAGCACTGAGCATGGCAGGACAGAACAGACACGCGGGTTTATTGAAAACTGGGATGTGGGAGATGCTGAGGAAAGCTTTTTGTTTTGGGTTCTTTGTTCCAGCCTCTCTTTGGCTTTTCTCACCAAATTGGGCCATCCCTGCAGGCTATCCCTGCTTTAACTACAATTAATTCCTTCTTTCTTCTTTGGGGTGTTTTTTTCTTCATGCAGAGAACATTAAGAATATTAATTTTTTTCAATGCCAAAACTTTTATGTGACCAAAGAGCAGGCAAGTTCATTTCCTCCTATGATTCAACTGCAGTTTTTTTTCTTGAAGGATTTTTGTTTCCTCTTTTTCTTCATGCACTGAATTTGAAGAGTGGCTTTTACTGATAAATCTTTTATTTTGCATCCTTATATCTAGTTATTTTATTTTGAGGGATTTCTTTGGTATGTGCTTGAATCATGAATTCAAATTGTCATATAAAACTTTGAGGGTTTAGTTTTGTCTTTTATAAAATTAAAGGATGTTTTTGATGAAAGTTGAGGCTTTCACATATTCCCATGAATTCTGAAGTGCAAAATTTTAGGAATGCACTTTCAGTTAGGATAGGCATGATAGAGTCTGTGGGAGTTTATTTGCTCGCAGAGCAATGCAATTTAAGATTTTGCATCTCTAAAACTGTAATGATGAAGGGGAAATAATTTGAAAAAAAATATTCTGGACAATGTGCTTCAGACGATATTGCCCTTTATGCCAAGCTTGATCTTTGCATTAATGTCTTAATTCTGAAGATATTTGAACTAATGAATGAATAGTAATTAAATTATATATGTGTATTATGAATTGTTTTCCAAATTTCATAATCTCCATCACAGTTTCTGGGAAAGGAAGAACTGGATAAAACTGTGCTGCCAAATAAAATTAGGAAAATAAGTGTTTTTTCAGTAAGAAAATAAGCCTGTTACAAGAAAAGCACCTTGGAACCATTCAACAAATGCAGTTTTACAGACCAGGGCTGCTCTAGGAGGGAGCCCTGAGCCCTGCAGGATGATTCATAAGGACTCAGAGGTATCCTGTTACTCCCAGGTAAAACTGGAGCCAAGGGGCTGGGAAATAGGATCTCTCCCAGAAAACAGCCCTCCTGAGGCTGAGCCCTGCCTGTTCCTCTGGTGGCCTCCCTGCAGGGAGCTCTACCTTGTGGATGCTGCTGTGGTGAAGTTTTACCTGGCTTTTGCACAGCTGCATGCAGCAATTGAGGCTCTGTTGCTCTCTTGGAGCATCATCTTCAGCTTATTGTAAGATTCCAGTGCTGTGGATGGGTAGCTCTGTGGCATCTAATAATTAATTAGTGTAATAAGCTTGACTAAGGCAGAAGGCACCATGCAGGTGACTTTGCAAATTGCAGTCAGGTTTGGCTCAGTGCATCCTGCTCCATGACTGTAGAACCAAAAAAAGCCAGAAAAAACCCCAAACAAATTGTGAGTGGCTTCAAATGAAAAACAAGATTATGATATCCTGGTAGCCTGGTGGTGCAGGAGCCTGGAGCTACCGAGCTGGAGGATGTAGGTGTCTGGTTTTTTGGTTAAAGAAGAGGGCATTTGTGGAAAATAATTTTTTTCTGTTTTCTTCTGGAAAAACAAGTCAATTTTTTGCAGATAGCAGTCAAAATCCCAGGTGCTTGGGTGTCATTGCTCTCCTGTAAACTGGGACTCCCACTAAAATTTCACTATGTGCCACTTAGAGCTGTGCTGCAAAGACTTTGTGGTGCATCATAGGAGAGCTGGTTCTGAGTCTGGCCTGTAACAGCACGAGGCTGTGAAACATCCAAAAGACAAATCCTGGGGACAAAGGAGTAGGCAGGGGACAGACATTTGAATATCCAAGCAAGCTGAGATAAACAGTTTTTCATAAAGTGAAACAAAGTTTTTTTATGCTGCTGAAAGATGGGGGATGTTGTTCCAGTCAAAAGTATTGAAACAAACAAAAAAATTACACAATTCTAAAAGGAACTTTTCAGTTTTCTGTCATTCTTAAAAATAAAAAATAGACTTTTCAGTAGATTTCTGGCTTTTCTGTCTTCCATGACTTTACTCACTATTTAAATGCGTTGAAGTAATTCAGACTTTTAATTTATTCCTTTATAAAACACGTAGAAGTGAAAATAGCAATTTTTTCTTTCTACTTTAATTTCTTTCTCTTCTCCAAGAAAAATACAGGCTCTGGGTAAAAGAAACCCAGCTCTGTACCCAGTTCTGTGGACTTTGTTTCACTCCTGCCAGTGTTTACCATGTTCAGACTTAATGTGAAAATCCCACCATACCTGTATTCACAGTAACTGTACCCTAGGAACGAAACAGCAGTTATTGTTTGTGCAGTTAAATGATGTTTTTCATTTAATGGACAGGTTAACTTTTCCCTTTGAATGAATAAAGGTAGCTAAATAGAGTACTTCCAAGTAAAATTTGGTCATTTGCTTGGGGTTTGTGTTTTGAAAGTCAGGATGGTTTACTTGGAATTACTGATCTGTAATAACAGTGAAGTGCCTTAGACATCATTTATACAGACAATTTATAAAGGTCCATTTACAGTCAAGAAAGACACACAGCCAAGAGCACACAGGCTGTTAAAAAGAGTTAATATTTTGGCAGCTAAGACCATACACATGAAGTCAATGTTTAAGAAAAAAATCCACTCTGGCTTATTTCATTTTTATGGGCAAATAATTTTCAAGTAACACTTATGATAACAGATGGATAAATTTATGTCTGCAGTTAATTTGAACGATAATTTCCTTAGGATGTTTTACTTGCATTTTTTTTTCTTTCTTTCTTTTATGAGAGCTGTCAGTTTTGTAGCTGAGAGCTGGATTTGCTGCTTCAGAAATTCAGATGCTGCTCCAGTTCACAATGTTTATTAGCAGCCAAATCAGTAGGCTTTTAGTCAGTGGGTTTTGTTGCTTAAAATAATAAATATATCATAGAGAATATTCTTTTACTGAGACAGAGTTGAAATGCAAATACCATAGCATCTCCCATAGCAAGAGGGGAAGCAAATTGTCTCTGGACCACAGTTCTGGGGTGGAGGAAAGCACATGTTTAACCATCCCACCAGCCTCCATAACATCTAAGAGTCAGAGAGGACCCAGCTGTTGTCTGTGGTGTGGAAGCCAGGTTGCCCACAGCTTTTGATGAAGCTAGTGATAACAGAGATCCATTTGTGTGACAGTCAGAGCACCCTTGCTCATCTGCAGGCTTAGGTGGCTGAGTTTATTTATATTTGTTGATGGATTAGGTATTTCGGAGATGTTCTGCAAGACAATAAATACAGGCTGTGCTGTAGACGTCTGTGTGCTGCCATGAAAGCAGAAGACTCCATCCCACA